AAACAAACACAATAATCGATCTCTTTCAATTCTTTTGTCTTATCATGTTCGAAAATCTACAATCATGGATTAAGATAGCATTTCTTTTCATCCACTTAAAATCTCCATTGTCGTCCCCTCTCATGGTCAAGTTAAACCGTCAAATATCAATATAGTTAACTATGTTCGAAAATCAATATAATAGGTAATTATGTTTATGATTGTAGTTAACTATATATGTTATTCTCTTTCATTATGCAAACTATAAAAGGTGACTATGTTTCTGATAATAGTTGGCTATGTATGTTATTCGTTTTCATTATTCAAACTAAAATAGATAACTATGTTCCAAACATAGTTAGTTTAAATAAATAACTACTACAACACCATTTTCATGTAGTCAACTATGTTATGTAATCGGTAAAATAGACAACTATGCTTTAAAAAGAATAGCCAACTATGCTTTTAAATTCGTAACTATTTTCTAAAAAAAAATAGTTAAATATGCTTTAGATAGTTACAAAGTGAGATAGCTAACTATCTTGTAAAATCAATATAAGATGTAATTTTGAAAATAGTTAACTATCTTGTTCTAATCTAATTTTATTTTGTTTGCAGATCTAATTTTCCAAAGATAAAGACGCATCTATAAAAAGAATTTGAGATGAGAGAAATATAATTTTTTTATGGAATTTTTTCATATTTACCTTAATTACATTGTACGAACAATTTTGTCATATTTTAATTATCTCTCCTACTTATCTAGTTTTATTTTCTGACAAGTTATCTATCTAATTTTCTCTTCCAAAAATAATATTCATTCAATTACCAAAAGAAAATGAAAATTGTATGTTGACTAAATCTGCTAAATAAAACAGTTGAGGGTGGTACATAGACCACCGCACTATGAGTGCTCTGGCAGGCACATGCTTTTCTAAAGTAAATAAATAAATAAAGGAATTCTCAAAATTGAATCATCTTCTTTACATTTTCATAGATTTTTTCTAAACTCTGAGATTGACACTTGGCACGCCATTGATCCGAACTAAAGTCAGAGGTCGATCGACGGCGAAAATGTCGTCTCGA